GTAACAAGAGAGGTTGGTTTCTCATCACATCACATGCTATTATTGCAGGGCTTAATCCGCTGCGTATGGGACTTGTTTTGTGTCTGCCTGGCCGCTGGTTGATCATTGCAAGGAAGGATGACACATACATCAAGTAATTGCCTGTGTTTGGCTTGTTGACTTGAGTCTCGCATCCGATCCTTTTGATGGCATACATGCACGCATGTTGGTTGATTTGGCATGTGTGCAACTTGAGTGCTTTCATATTAGAACGCCCGTCCACCAGCCCACCTGCCCCATATATATTAGATTGTAGTAGTGGTGTAGTAGTAGTTGTTGTGGTAGTAGTAGTAGTACTGCTTAAGTTGTTGTGTTTATTTGGTGAACTGGATGGAACATGTATGTATGAACACCGTGTTAATCCTTGCATGGTGCGTACAGGTAAGTGCCCTGCCGTTACTTTGCATGTTTCATTTAATTGTAATGCTTAGTAATCTACATGCACTCCCAGATCACATCAGAGTTCCTTTACCTGTGCCTATTGTGCATTGTCATTGATAAAAATGGAAGGTTTTTTTAACACCAACACGGTCAAATCTGCTTATGTTATCAGAAATGGAGACACCAACATGGCGAGTCTGACCTGTCCGAGTTCTGTTTGGCGAGGAGAGACTAATTATAGGCGCCATTCATTCAATCTGCATACAGTTTAGATGGAGGATAACAATTCCCTGTAGTTGTAGTACATCTGTGATAATCTGAATCAATGGACATAATGATCAGAATTATTGCAGCTAAATCTAGGACTAGTTACAATTTCCTGATTGATAGCAGCTGAGCTGAAGTGTGAACTTCAATGTTATAGACCCTTGAGACATGGAAAACCTGAAGTAAGCTTACACAAGTCTGCTAATAGGCCTCTGGTTTCCCAACGGAATTGACAGCAAAGTAGCTGCAAGTTTTAGACCCTGAGCTTTGGCATTGCTTTTGTGTTTCCATTACTGGTTGGTTGAGGAGTCTTGTTCCTTCCATGCAGCATCTGTGCATATCCTGTTTATGGTAGGCAGCTTAAATATGTCCACTGTTGATCCCTGCATCTGCAATTTTTTATTTTTTTTACTTTCGGCATCCCCTTGAGTCTGCTCCCTGATACTCCCTCCGTCCGAAAAAGATTTGAGGGGCAAGCTTTTTCGGACGGAGGGAGTAGTAGTTTTCTCCTCCAGAGAAAAGCAATTTGTGACTCCTTGGGCTGCATAAAAAACATGTATAAGAGTACTTTGAAATAACTTGCCATTCCTGGATTTCCAGAGGCACCACATGGATGTGAAGATATTGGTAAAGAGCGGCATATGTGGGTGATTTGAGCTAGCTAGGTGAAGAATGATACTTGTAATACCCTGATACTCACTGTGCTGGCTGTTCTCTCTGTGTTGCCTGCTCCTGATCGATGCTCATCATCTTTCCTGGCTGGAAAATGCATATGTCAAACTGTAGCAGGAACTGTAACAACAGTGCATGTATGAAATAATATGTGCACAAAATGAGCAACTTATGGATGCCCTCAGGCATGCCTTTAGTGCCCCCGGTCTCGAAGAGTAATCTGTGTCCAGACTCCAGAGAGACATGACACCGTCAGCCAAATGTGCCAGCGTTCACTAACTAGTTTCAGACAGTAATAACATGGGATCAATCATGATGCAGGTGACCACCGGCCAGGTCGACCTGCTGGCGGACAAGCCAGCCAGTGAGCGAGGAGGCTGTAGATCACATTAAGCTGCATTGCCCTTGCCCAGTAAGTAGAGGCACGGAAGTTTGAGGCATCAGCCATCTCAGAGTGCTCAAGATATGTTCACTCAGGTATGGCACCTCAACAGAAGAGCAGATATGGTGTTTAACAATTATGTGTGTGCTACCTGACTTGCACTGTTTGTCTTATATTGAACTAAACAGAGCACATGCTATGTGATTGCCGAGAGGTTTGTGGGAGTTAAGAAGGGCTCAGATATGCTAACTATGTTTTATGACAGTGGGCTTCAGAGATATTGCGTGGTTTTCAGGCCTGCAGGCAGGCAACAGCGTCCTGATCTGAGAGTCGCCGAAGGCGTTTTCTGGTTGTACTCCTAGGCGATCCTGACATTGGGCAGGTTGTCGATGGATGCTGACCTCAGCATGCCGTTGGTGCGTCGATCTCGAAAAGGTCAGGGGGCTCCCTGAACTGCGATGAGTTCACTGCATTCTTCTGTATGTGCAAAGAGACAAAATGCAACTGTATCTAGCTGCTTGTTTCAGGTTTAGTTTTAGTCAGCCAGTTAGAAGTATTCTTGCATCCAACTATGCATGTTCTATGATCCAGATTAGTGAGATTTAATAGTGAGAGCATGCGTTTGGGGTTTTAAAGAAGGTCAAACTGAAACAATGGCCTACTGCCCGCCCGTGCCGGCCCCAACAGAACATCCCAACTGCAGCAGACATACAGATTCATCAGTCTTCAGAGCTAGCAACAGCCGGCTAAAATATCATTCTGAGTCTGAAGAGAAGAACAAGATGAAGCAGATCGATACAAAAGGCACGAAGACAAGTATATATTTTTGGTATCACAATAATGTTTGCCGAGAGATTTTCTCGTTCGGACCTTTATTAAGAAATTCTCGCTAATCACAGTTTTTATGTATCGGGCAGTATCTTTCTTGTCCGGAGAAAATTTTCTGCTTAGTCATCATTATCTTAGTTTTAACCAAAATACGTGGTTGATTTTGTATGTCCTTTAGTTTTGTGCCATAGTGATTATTTCCAGTCGGACCCCATCTCTTCATTGTTGACAGTTCCATGAGTGTTAGGTGACAATTTTCTTGTTGTTCTCACAGTCCTCGCCCCTCAAGAATATTTTCCATGGATATCACTTTCTCAATTGTTCATAAATTAAGAAAGTGATGTACAATTACATATCATTTTTCTTTTCTTACCAAGATAGATGAACATTATCATTTTATCAAGGCCAGGTCACATAGTCATCGTCATCGACGGAGGAGGATGAGGAGAAAAATGAAGGCCATGGTGCCATCTGAGCCAACAATTCTCAAGAACTGTAGGGTCAGTGTTTCTAATCTTGTGGGTATGTCCCTTTTCATGTGTTGGGTAGTATCTTGCTTAGCGAAATTTTCTACTTTGACATCATTATTTAGTTAGTTGTAACTGAGTATGTGGTAGGTTTTTTATGTTCTTTTTATTGTCGGGGAGATTATCTTCGGTCACCTCATCTCGTAGTTGTCAACATTTCCATAATGTTAGGAGATGGTTTCTTGTTGACCTCACACTACTCGCTCTTCCAGACTTGATTTTCCTCAGACAGCATTTTCTCAATTTTCATATATCAAGAAAACGATGTGCATAACTATGTATCAATATTTTTTTGTCGATATAGATTACAGTTTTACATGAACGAAGTAACCTCTCTGTTCTTTGCCGACAATTATTTGTTTACATGCTATTCTCATACATCTACGAATTGTTATGATTAGGTCTCTCGTAAAAAAAATATTGTTATGATTAGGTGGCACGCACTTTTTGGCACCCTCGGGCATTTTTTACAACGAGTTCTTAGTTTTTTTTTACCAATTATGAGTGTATTAGCACATATATTTTATTTATTCCTGGAAAATTACAACACAAGAGATTTTCTCACTTGGACTTTATCGGCAAATTTTCATTAATTTAGTGGGCCCACGCACTTTAGTTTTTACATGACATGTAGTATGTTGCTCCAAAAAAAAGTATACTTAGACATCATTTTTTTTTTGCTTAGTTTTAACTTGTTACATGATTTATTATGTCATGCTTTTTTGGCATAGTATTGGATCAATAAATTAAAAGATCAAATTTACCGTCACTATATTGAAATAATTTGGTCAAGGTTGACGAACATTTCTCATGAGCAGTGGAAACATCTTTTAAAAACGTTACATATGGAAATATTATCTTGAGCCATTCTAAGATTCGCATTAGTTGTAGGCTCGGATTCTTATAAAGAAATTGTAATCCTATCGGTTCTTCACTTTCTACTTGCTCTGAGAGATTTTCTCGTTGGATAAGTTCTTAATTTGTAACTCCGCGGATTCACACTTTTTTATGCTCACTGATGATCTCGCTACTGGAGACCTATTATTTTGCTGGGACATCACTTTTCTTAGTTCTAGTACACGGTTCCAGCACACACAGCTAGCTGCTGGACATGGACTGAAACCGAACTCACTCACGAACACAGCCAATCAAAATTATGGTAATGAAGACACCTAGTACTAGTAGTACTAACCACTAGTAGTCACAAGACTCATGATTACTCGCCTCCATCCCGAGAACAGTCGCTAGGAAGAGGCCATGGCGCTGTCAAGTGGCCCGTCGTCGTCCTCGTTCGTCGGGATCAATCAAGGACGGAGCGGGGGAGGTCCCATCCCGTCCTACAACTAGGTACGATGCTCGCATTTGCTTCATTGGATGGCCAATCTTGAGTACACAGCTATCCATTTCTAGTGGAGGTGGAGCCACTTGTTAGGTGTGCTGAATAATTCAATCGCTTTTACTGCCTCCTTGCACATGGGGTTTTCTTCTTTTGAAGATTGAGATGACAAGGGAGAGATAAGTATGTCGGTTTATACTTCTAGAGAGAAGCTAGCGGTGAGGAGACATTCACCATTTAATTACTGGCGCAGCTGCATCCTACTCGTCCCATTTTATCAAGCGGGAAGAGAAAAGTAGTAGAAGAAGAAGAAAGCATTGCCTGCATCCTACTCCTCCTCATCGTGTAAGCAGTAAGCACCGGGATCCTCCTCCTCCGCCGCACTTCCGTCCATAGCGAGCCCCGGAATCATCCACATGTATGTCTCCTCCAAACTCAATGCTAGCATTTTTTTGGTTCCATTTTCTCAGAAGCAAGCGAGCAAGCACATTGTTTGCTCACACCATTATTGTCTTCCTCACCTTGTTGCTTCTCTGTGTTCTTTGCATGTGTTTTCCTTAGTGTTCCCATGGCGGAGCTGGTGGCCACCATGGTGGTCGGACCACTGCTCTCCATTCTCAACAATAAGGTATCCAGCAGCCTGCTCGACCAGTACAAGGTGATGAAAGGCATGGAGGAGCAACATGAGATCCTAATGCGCAAGCTTCCTGCCATTCTGGACATCATCGCCGACGCCGAGAAGGCGGCATCCCTGAGAAGAGGTGCAGCGGCATGGCTCGAGGCCATCAAGAAAGTGGCTTACCAGGCCAATGAAGTCTTTGATGAGTTCAAGTATGAGGCGCTTCGCCGCAAGGCCAAAAAGGAGGGACACTACAAGGAGCTTGGCTTTGATGTGGTGAAACTCTTTCCCACCCACAACCGCTTCGTCTTCCGTAACAGGATGGGAAGGAAGCTCCGCAAGATTGTGCAGGCCATCGAGGTCCTTGTGACCGAAATGAACGCCTTTGGCTTTAAGTATGAGGAACAGCCGCTGGTCTCCAGTCAATTACGGCAGACTGGTCATGCTAACACTGACCCAGAGGAAATCAAAGAAATCATCAATGAATCCAGAGCCAATGATAAGGGTGCAATTGTTAGCAGACTAGTTGGGCAAGCTAACAATGCAGATCTCACAGTTGTTCCCATCGTTGGAATGGGCGGTCAGGGCAAGACCACCTTAGCGCAACTTGTTTACAACGAACCTGCAATTAAGAAGCATTTTGATTTGCTCCTATGGGTGTGTGCATCTGAATGCTTTGATGTGGACTCCTTGGCTAAAAGTATAGTTGAAGAAGCTCATGAGAAGAAGGATGATAGCAAAGATGCAGCCACTTCCAAGAAGACACCACCGGATATTCTTCAGAATGTAGTAAGCGGGCAAAGGTACCTCCTTGTATTGGATGATTTCTGGGAACGACAGGTTGAGATTTGGAGACAGCTCAAGGCCCGCCTTGAATATGGTGGCATGGGTAGTGTGGTCTTGACAACTACTCGTGACGAACAAGTGGCTGAAATAATGTGCCCTATTGGAGCTTACAATCTCAAAGCTTTGGAAGATAAATTCATAAAGAAAATCATCGAGACAACAGCATTCAGCCGTTTCAAGAAGGCTGAGGAAAGGCCTAGCGAGTTGGTGGAAATGGTTGATGAGATTATGAAGAGATGTGTTGGTTCTCCTTTAGCTGCAGTAGCACTAGGCTCTGTACTGTGTACCAAGACCAGTAAGGTAGAATGGGAGGCTATATCAATCAGCAGCAACATTTGCACCGAGGAGACATGAATCTTACCAATACTCAAGCTCAGTTACAATGACTTGCCGTCGCATATGAAGCAATGCTTTGCTTTTTGTGCTGTGTTTCCCAAGGATTATGAGATTGATGTGGACAAGCTGATCCAACTATGGATTGCACATGGCTTCATCCAGGAAAAGCAAGTTCCTCTTGAAACAATTGGCAAACAGATTTTTCATGAGCTTGCCTCAAGGTCATTCTTTCAGGATGTGAAACAAGTCCAAGACTGTGTTGAGGAAATTGAATACAATGGCTTGTTTTATTCCAGAACTACATGTAAAATCCACGATCTTATGCATGATGTTGCTCTTTCTGTAATGAAAAAGGAGTGTGCATTGGCTACTAAGGAACCAGCCAAGATTGAATCTTTTGTCACAAGTGAGGAACCAAGTCAGAGTGAGTGGCTTCCGAACACAGCTCGGCATTTATTTTTGTCATGCAAGGACCCAGGAAAAAAATTGAATAGTTCTCTGGAGAACAGCTCTCCAGCCATCCAAACACTTTTGTGTGATAGCTATATGAGTAGTTCATTGCAACATCTATCAAAATACACCTCTTTGCAAGCATTACAACTTTGTTCAGGTAGTAGATCATTTTCGCCGAGAGCAAAACATCTACATCACCTGAGGTACCTAGATCTCTCAAGAAGTTATATCAGAGCACTTCCTGAAGATATGAGCATTCTTTACAACCTGCAAACACTTAACCTCTCTGGCTGTAAATCTCTTGAAACACTTCCGAGACAAATGAAGTATATGACTGCACTGCGTCACCTTTACACTCATGGTTGTCCACAGTTGAAAGGCATGCCTAGAGACCTAAGAAAACTCACATCCCTACAGACACTTACATGTTTTGTAGCAGGTAGTGGCTCTAATTGCAGCAATGTTGGAGAGCTCGGGAATTTAAACCTCAGTGGTCAACTAGATTTACATCATCTAGAGAACGTGATAGAAGAAGCTGCAAAAGCTGCAAACCTTGTAATGAAGGAACTAACAGAACTGACATTCAAATGGACTGTTGGACCGGATAACGTTGTTGATGAGCCTAGCAGTCAGGATGATGCAAAAGTGCTCGAGAATCTCAAACCTCATAATGGACTACATGCCATAGGGATACACTCATATGGTGCCGCCACCTTCCCGACATGGATGACTATGTTGCAAAAAAGCGTAGAGATCCATCTTTTTGGTTGTAGAAAACTGCAATGGTTGTTCAGCAGTGGCCGTGATAATGAAACCTTCGCATTTCCAAAACTAAAAGCGCTTACGTTGCATGCTCTTGACTCTTTGGAAAGATGGTGGGAGATAGATAATGACAAGATGCACACAGAACAGATGTTTCCTCAGCTTGAGAAGTTGTCCATTAGTCACTGTGAAAATTTGAAAGCATTGCCCGGACAACCGACCTTCCCTAAGCTTCAGAATGTTCATATTAAGAAATGTCCACAGTTGACAACTACAGCTAAATCACCAAAGCTTAGTGTATTGGACATGGAAGGACGTGAGGTAGAGTTGTTCTTGTGGGTATCGAGACATATGACTTCATTGACCAATCTGGAACTGACTAGCATTGAACATAGTACAGATACAACCTCGATGGGGGCTGAGAATAGTTTGAAGGAAGTGGTGAACGTCAAGAAGAATGGGATCAAGACTTTCCTCTAGAAGTTTTGAAGTTAAGAGACTTCGAGTCAGCTGTAAGTATAACAGAGCTGTGTGCATGCTTTGTACACCTTCAAGATTTGTCAATTGTGAGGTGCCATACGCTCGTCCACTGGCCAGAAAAATTGTTCGAAGGATTGGTATCCTTGAGGAACCTTCTGATTCGGCAGTGCGATAATTTGACTGGATATGCACAAGCTTCTGCTGAGCCATCAACATCATCAGAAACCAGTCAGCTCCTCCCACGTCTAGAGTCTCTGACGATACAAAGTTGTGGAAACTTGGTTGAGCTCTTCAACGTCCCTGCTTCTCTCAGGACAATGCACATTAATAGTTGCAGTAAGCTTGAGTCCACATATGGCAGGAAGCAGCAGCAGGGACAGTCAGTATCATCGATTCGTCAAGGGTCATCCAGTATAGAAGAATTATCATTATACAACTGTGATGGCTTAACAGGGGTCCTCTATTTTCCCCCGTCCCTCAAGAGACTAGAAATTGTTAAGTGTGGTGGGTTGGCATCTCTGAAATCCTGCTCTCCCGAGCTCCAATCCTTGGAGCACCTCCACCTTTGGAATTGCAAGACCCTGGAATCCCTACCGGATGTGCCGCAAGCATACTCATCTCTCCAACATATTTGCATCAGCGACTGCCCTGGTATGAAGACGCTCCCTGCAAGCCTGCAGCAACACCTTGGCAGCATCCAGGAGGAACACATAGATGCCCATCTTTATGGAAGTAAGCACGCAGCAATCAAAAATCCGCGTCTGAGCCCGGGCTCAGATGCTCCCGCTCAGAAAAAAATTCAAAACAAATACTAGGAAAATTCAAAAAAATCTATTTTTTTTGTAGTAGATAATTTGATGCGTGAGTTCCGCTGTAAATTTCAACTCATTTGAACATTTGAGCAGCTCTCGGCAAAAAAGATAAATCGGGTCAAAACAGTTCGTGAACAATACACTTTTTTACAGACCCCGATTTTGTCTTTTTTGCCGAGAGATGCTCAAATGTCCAAACAAGGTGAAATTTTCAGGGAACCTCACGCATCAAATTATCTACCACAAAAAAAATTGGAATTTTTTGAATTTTTCTAGTATTTGTTTTGATTTTTTTCGTCGGCGCGGGTGCAGCTGAGCCCGGTAGCAATTACCTTCTCTATTAGTACTAGTACTAGTGAGTGTTAAATGTGCTAGTTAGAAAATGATGATAGCATCACTAGTAGTACAACAGAAGACTAGAGCAAGTTAAATATTCCTTTATCTAAATTCTCCATTTCTTTAATGATGTTCCCCTAAGTGCAAGTTTTTACATTAATACTCTGTGCAGATAAGCCAAGGCCTATGCTGCTGAAGCCCAAGACATGGAAGTATGTCTGCAAAGGTTGAAGTACTGTTCCCAAGGACTTGGAGGAGATCCTGTCTGCGAAGGTTGGTGGTACTGACTGTACCCCTCGGATATATTTTGAGGAAAAAAAATACATGCCATGTCTGGCTTTCTTGTGGTGTTGATGGTGTATGGTTTCTTCGCAGGATTCTTCCAGCACATAAGAGAAGAGAGATCACTTGGAGTACAACTATTGTCTCGCAAGACCTACCAGGATCATGAATGTTGTTGCCATGCTGAGTTGCAAGATCAGTAATCAGCAAGTGCTTCAAACACGTACTACTGTTTTATCCCCTGAAAGAGATCTTGTTCGAACAATTAGTACTTGTATTTTCCGCTTATTTACGTACGGGTTGTTACATGATTGTACTTTTTTTTGAACTGGCAAGGCAACTCCTCTTTGCCCTGGCACTTTCAGTTCCTTTTATGTTAAAATTATGCCAGCATTTCCTTTGGGTGCTTTGCCCAGGAGAGGTTACTTGTTGACTTGGTTTTTTGGTATGTCTGTCCGTGAGTCTCTGTATGACTTGTGTATAACTTGGTAACTCAACGTTTGACATATATTTTAACTTGTAAATACATGAACTATTATTTACTGATCATCGTATACATCTGAATTGCCATTTATATAGCACTAGGAATACTGTTGGTTCTGCAGTGAGGTTAGGAGCTTGGGTGCACGTTGTCAGTGCAGTCTAAGATTTCAATTCCTGACCATATGATGTTAACTTGGAGACTCGCCGGGATCCACAGGAAATTCTTGCCCTGTTGGCTTTCGTTTGTTTCAAGATTGGCTGACAAAGAATAGGTAGCTTCTCTCTTTTCTCACTCGCTGTGCGTATATGAAACCGTAGCAGGAATTGTAGCACCACTGCATATGACGGAGTACTATTTTGACTGTACTACATTTTTTTTTATCAAAGAAGGGCTTGCCCCTTCCGATTTTCATTACTGAAAACCACTGAGTTCTACAGACGAGTTTAAACCGGAACGAAAAAAACGATCGAAAAGGAGCCAACATGGCCATATGCCATCTAACGGCCAACGGCCAACACAGGGCCAGCCACCCCATACATCCCCAAGTTCACCAACATCCACATAATTCAAACTTCCTAGAACATCATTACAGCAAAGCAAAGCCAAAAGCAGCAAAAGAGGAGCCGGGGATCCTATCTACAGGAACAACAAACATCAAGTTCACCGCCACAGGAGAGTCTTCATTCCAGCCTTGCCACATTGATCCTCCACCCCTGCCTAGCAGTGAACACTTTTGACTGTACTACATCCACGTCCATTATTTAGAATTGCCCTCGGTTTTGAATTGCGATGACTCCACTGTGCATTCATCTGGTTTTTGTCCGGACAGAGAGACATTGTCTGCTGATACTGTCAGGCAAGTGCAGCAAGATGGTAGTTGTAACTGGTTTCAGACAGTAGCTTTGGATCAAGCCGTGCAATCACTTGTACGTATGATGCTGAATTGCAGATGATGAATCTGATCTGGCCTGCCTCCGAACCACCCGCCGCACCACCAGCCCCGCGGACGAGCAAGCCGGCGAGGAGCCTCTACAACTTTGTACTCGAGCAAACAACCGAGGAAACGGCTACACAACTGCGTTACACGAGGCTCCTTCTTCTGTCCGGACAAAAACCAGATGAATGCAGTTGGATCACTTCTTGCAAGTAGGGGGATGAAGCAGTGTAGTCTCTCTGTTGATGATCAATGCAAGTAGCTACACTGCTTCTGTCCTGACGATAAACGAAGCAGTCTAGTGATGAAACGCTCTGTGGCAATTTCTCTGGTCGTCACAATTTCCACCTGATGAGTCTTCAGGCGTTGAATCGAGCAGGTCTGAACCTGGTCCCTCTGTCTTTTTGTCCTTCGACCGATAGTCATTTACATGTGCAACTGGAAATGGCATTGATTTTCTTGGTTTAAATACTGTTGCTAAAAACACCAGCTTTAACAATCGAAAAACGAAAAAGAAGTGTTCCCATACACAAAAATAATAATAATAAATGTTCATACATATGAAATAAAATGTTCCTGTATGCGATGAATTTACATTTATGTAAGAAACATATTTTTGTAAAGAAAACCATGGATTAAAAAATGTTCATACAGTAAAGAATGATTACATGATCTTTAGTATTGGAAAAGTATTCATGTGCACAAAAAAATATTTTTAGTATGTTAAAAAATGGTTACATGATTTTTACAAGTTCATAGATTTATTAAAAAAGATCGTGTGTACACGATAAAACTTTACCACATACTTAAAAGTGTCATATATGAAAACATATTAATATAGCATGTGTTAATTTTTTGTAATTTTGGATAAATCAAAAGGAGAAAAGATAACAAAAAGTAAAATATATAAGTGAAAGGACAACATAAAAATAAAGAAAGAAAAGGGAACAATCGGCTGAAACCAGAAGAAGCCAAAATGACCACCAAGAAACTGGAAAAGAGAAAGAAAAATGTTTATTTATGGGAACCGCTCACCTATGGCTGTGTGCATCAAGAGATGCAGAGGCCGGGGGTACGCCTCCTTTTCGAGAAAAAAAGTGCGAACCGCTCACCTATTTCTCGCAGTAAGCGCGGAACAGGATTTACTGAGGAGGAGTTCAACGTTTAGCATCTGGGCCTATACATGGGCCTCCTTTCTTGGTTGGGCAACTTTTTCTAAAATTGTGTGTTGGGCTTAACTTTCCCTTTTTTTTCCCCTTAATGTTGTTCGTTTTCATTCCTTCTGTGCCTGAAGCAGAAGCAGAAGCTGAAACTGGCTCTTCTAGTTTTTGGCATGGTTATCCTCCCAATTTTATTTTACAAGACATTTTGAATGATACAACAGCGAATTTTTATTCCTTACATAATGAGCAGAGAGGTTTATGCTTTAAGGTCAGTAAACATTTCTGAATTAAGACAAACGAAGAGATGAAAAGAAAATTAAATTATCACAGAATCAGCAAAGAAAAAAAATAGAGGTATAAAAGCATGAGAAGAAATTCAGGGTGTTTACAAACATAGGAAAAAAATCAGATTATAACAGCACGAGAAGAAATTCAGAATTCTTTTTGCAGACCGACATATGAAAAGAATTCAGATTATAACAGAACAAGCAGAAAAAAAAAGAATGGATCATAGATTATAAAAAGAATGGGCACAAATTCAGAATGTTCACATCGCATAGTGCAATGATACGGCGGCCAATTGGCTGCCGTCCACTTAAGCAGAGAGTTCATGCTTTTAGGGGATATTGGTGTTTCAGAGATAATGTGTGGTTTAATTAATGACGAGTCTATTCTGCTGGGACACATGCCATACTGTAAAAACATCTAAGAAATATATGACGAGAAGTTGTATATTGATTTTGCGGTACGAGATTATGAGGGATATGCTAAAGATGCTCTTACTTTGGCACTGAATTACTACGAAATCACGAGCGAACATACAATATTATTTGCGAGAGAGCATACATACGGTGTTACTATCGTAGATCCAGCATGAGTGGTCCGATGTATTAGGGCGTGGGTGGTGGGGTACGTACGTGCGTACGAGTATGACTGGTTGGTCTTTAGCCGGCGCGCCGGGCCGGTGGCGGCTGGCCTGCCACAGCATGCCAGAATGGGAATGTGTGGTTCAAGGAGTAGTAGAGCAAAAATATCACAGCACACAGCTAATGCAACGAGAGGCGACAAAAGCGGCTAGGCTGGTTTCGTGACTTAGCATCTACTCCCTCCGTTCCTAAATATAAATCTTTCTAGACATTTCAAATGAACAACAACGTATGAATGTATGTAGATATATTTTAAAGTATACGCTCACTCATTTTATTCCATATGTAGTTACTTGTTGAAATTTCTAAAATGACTTATATTTAAAAACGAAGGGAGTATGATGCATGCATGCTACGGTGATCCTACAATGCACGAGAGGTAACAACACAACCGTAGAGGAGCAATGAGCCGCAATACCCTCTCTCTAATAAGAGCATCTGTTACGTGTAGTACTGCTCGATGGGCCATATGAGAAAGATTCCCTTCGGCCGTGGCCCTCTCCTGTCACAGCACTCGGTGTTGTAAGGGGGGTCACCAAGGCGGATCACCAATCAGATCTCACCAAATGTCTACTAGCGACGTGTTTGTAGACAGCGAAATGGACACCAACAAACCGATTAGGGCATGTATAATGGTTCTATCTTAGCAATGCCACGTAGGATAAATGATGAGGTGGAGGAGAAAGAAATCATAAGAAAAGGCTTGTCTTCTCTTATTTAAGGAGTATTTAACAAAAACTACCACATTTGCCGGAAACGTGACAGAAAACTACCACTCTACGTTTTTGTGCGAAAAACTATCAAATTTGGACTAAACCGTGGCAAAAAACTACCAACTCGGGAAATCGCTCGCTTCGCCCGTGCTAACCCTGTTTCTGACCGGTTGGCCCGCGAATCAGTCGCCACGCTGGCGAACGGACGGCCGCCGCGCGTTGACGGCCGTTAACGGCCCGTCCGCTGTCGGAACGGCGCCTGTCGGTGGGCCAATAAGTGAGAGCGAGATCAGCCGCTCATTCTCCTCCTCCTCGCTCGCTCTCACTCGTCCTCACTCCATCCTCTCCCTCTCCCTCTCCCTGGTCCTCTGACCTAGGTCAGCCTATCGCCGTCGCCGCCGCGGCCATTGCTGCCGGTCGAAGGTGAGGATGCCATCCTGGTATGACGAGGACAACTCGGACGAGGACATCAACATGGTTTCATTGGATCAACAGCTATTTGTAAGTGCATAATGGTGGAACAGAGTTAGGGTTAGGGTTAGTTCATCCAAATTGGAGATTCCAATTTGCTTTTGGTTTGATTCGAAGTTTCTTTTGCAGGAAACCCCTGACACTGTGGTGGAACCATCTTTCTGTGGTTCTTACACTGAATCTGAGCCGACGTGCATGATGCATCATCAGAGGCCGAAGAAGATGGTGGCTTTTGAAGGTTCTTTGACTGGCAGGCGT